ATATATATATATATATATATATATATATATATAAGATGTCACATAGCACCACGTAAACAAACATGCGCGAAACATTCGCGAAACATTCGCATTTCTATCCAGAACAATCGCGGAAAATACATCCATAAAGAATGTGTATCGCACGCACATAACATATAAACAGAAAATATAATAATACACCAAGATATGTGGAAGTGGCGAACTCTCTTACGGAAGTCGCTGCGTCTACAAAGTTTCCCCTTTTCATCCTGTCGACCGTTTCATCGCTGCTATCCTGGTAAAGAAGTTATTGCGCAGTGGTAACTAAAAGAGGTAACTATATATAGTCACGGCGCAGTCGCGACGTTAGACCTTCTGCGCTCGACTTTTTGTGCGATGCCGTCAGTAGCTGATGAGCTTTCGCGAGCTTCGAGGATGCAAGGAACACCTATATCTTGGAAATCGAATCACGTCGCGGCCGTCCATGATTACAAGAAGGACGTGCAGCTGAGCATTCAGCTAAATCGTTGGTTACTGAAGCCGATTGGTGTCTGGCCGCAATCAGCCGATATTTCGTGGGTAGAAAAATTTGTGTACGCCCTGGTGAACATAATCTGCACCAGTATGATCGGTTTTCTCATCATCCCCTGCGTCATGCACATCGTACTCGAGAGCGAAGATATCTACTATACGGTGAAGCTCTCCGGAGCGGTGAGCTTTTGCTTGATGGCTATCGTCAAGTATTCCTCGCTCATTTGCCGCGAGAATGATATCCGCAGAGGCATCCAGCACATCGAGACTGACTGGATAGACACGCAACATTACAGCGATAGGAACATCATGATCAGAAACGCAAAATTCGGTCGTCGCCTTGTGGTGATTTGCGCGTTCTTCATGTACGGCGGTGCTGTGTTCTATTACCTCGCCATGCCGTTTAGCATGGGTAAGATCGCGGAACCCGACACAAACTTGACGTATCGGCCGCTCGTGTATCCGGTCGCTAAAGTTGTGGTTGATGCACGATATAGCCCCGTCAGCGAGATCTTCTTCTGGTTGCAATGTATGTCAGGTTTCATCGCGCATTCTATCACGACCGGTGCTTGCAGTTTGGCGGCAGTGTTCGCCATACATGCTTATGGACGTCTAGAGATTCTGATGAAATGGATTGAACATTTGGTGGATGGTCGGGAAGATTTTTGCGGCAACATGGACGACAGACTGGCGATGATTGTGCAGCAGCACGTTCGGGTCTTGCGGTGAGTCCTTTCTCAAGTGGGATCATATCGATGATTCTTAAGGAAAATTCACACCTTGGCAGAAAAGCAAGAAACAGAAATTATGCATGTAGAAAAGCTGAAAATGTCAACTATCACTTGAGCAGCAGCGCGACTGGCTCCTGCCTTTCTACTTTGTATTTTTTTAACAAGGTGTGAATTTTTCCTTATTTCAGTGTTTCTTATTATCATTATTATTATTAAGTAAATATATTTGCGATTATGATACTGTTATAAAAAAATTGCATCTCTAAATGAAGTATCTTCAACGCGATACAATGTAGCATTTGTCTTCCAGTTTTATATCGCTAACGGACAGGTTACTACGCGAAATATCTGTCGTGGAAATTGTAGGATGTACGTTAAACATGTGTTTGCTCGGATATTGTGTTATCATGGTATGCATATCGTAAAGATACTCACCGCAAAACGCAACGTTTTGTTTCAATATTAAAGATTAACGTCTGCATGATTTATGGCAACTCATGTATAATATATATGTGAAAAAACCTTTACGTTGCAGGAATGGAAAAATAAAGAGATTGCCGCTTACGTAACATACGTTATTCTGCTCATATCTCTCACATTTAACATCTTCATATTTTGTTATATTGGCGAACTTATTGCCGAACAGGTACAGTCGAAGCATACTTTTGCACCTGTGATGTAAACTTTCTATGTACAAATTAACACACAATTTAGAGTAGTTGAAAGATTGCTTCCCACTGTGAATGTACACGTAAGCTAGAAAGTAACTCTTTGGAATTATCTCTTTGAAAAGTATCTTTGAAATTATTATATTTAACGTAACATGAGAAGCAATCTTGTAAACAGTGCAAAAAGATCGGCGAGGTGTCGTACATGATCGATTGGCATCGACTATCGGGAAAGAAGGGTCTCGCTCTCGTACTAATAATCACAATGTCCAATTCGTCAGTCAAACTTACCGCCGGAAATCTCTTTGAGTTGTCTCTCAGTACTTTTGGTGACGTAAGTATCGCAATGACTGGATTATTAAGTGTGTTAACAACCGAATGATTTACGTATCATCCTTCCAACCAATAGGTGGTTAAGACATCTGTCGCCTACCTGAACATGTTACGCACATTAACTTCGTAAAGTATTTTCGTAATGTGCAAATTAGATAGCATAGATATTATAGCATAGATATTATAGCATTGATCAATACATTAATTAATTACTAATAAATATCAATTAGTTAGTTGCCCTCATGTCGAGTAAAAGTTAAAGAAAGGAGATATACCTTTGAGAGAGTAGTGATTTAATAAATAAAAAACATAAATATTTATAAAAAATGATTACTTAAGGTATTCGACGCGCATTTGTCATGATGTTCTATAACATTTTTAAGCACCACACACTATATCACGCGATAAAAAATTATGGAGTGCAAATTGAGTAAAAAAAGACTTATTTTTCTACTTTGCGAAATGTAGTATAAATTTTCCGAATAACAGTCAGAATTGTTTCCTCTTCAAGTAACTAAGTAACAGTATTGAAATTACATAACAATAACCATAGATTAATCAGCAACATACTCCCGTATGTAAGACGATTAATTGTTTCTTATGTAACAGGATTTTAAGAAAATTTTAAGTACATACATTTTAACGTGTATAAAGTAATACGATTATATTTATTGTATTTTTAGTAATTAATATATTTCCTATGATAAATGGATAATTCAATTTTACTTTTTCCATTTACAATAAATATAACAAAAATTATAAAATATTAGTATTGCAGTTGCACTGTATTTTTTTATCGATTTAAATTGCTTGTTTAAGAATAAATGCTCAGTTATTTATTAGTCAATGAAAATATATTAATGTATTAAAGACATTATATATTATATACTCATTTTATACGATATGTTAAAGATTTAGTATGCATTGCATTATGCGGGGAACTGAGGTGCAAAGTATGGCTGCTGAGCATACAGCTTAAGTTTCAAGCTCAAGTCCAGTTCAAATCCACCTTTGATGTGCGATTGCTGTTCTCTCTATATGTACTGAAAATAAATAGCTATATCTGTACATGTTTATTACAAATATTATTAAATAGTATTAGTGTTTTTTTCGGAATTTTCGGAATTTACGACAGAAAATTGATCAAAGATTCTGTAATTATAAAATAATACAGCAGAAATATGTCATGTCCTGTATACTTGGCCTTTTTTTATGTTATTTATTAAAATTCTCTTCGCATAAATATATAATAATTATCCTGTATACTTGGCCTCTTTTTATGTTATTTATTAAAATTCTCTTCGCATAAATATATAATAATTTTTGTAACGAACATTTAATAAAATAAATATTTTATGAAAGCAAAGACACACTTGGCACATCTCTAATATCTTCTTTAGATAAATATGATAAATATATTTATATATATACGTAGGTACAAACTCGTGTATATGTGTGCAGAATGTTACATAATACTACGCAAACAACAAATACTCGCGATCCTTCCAGAACAATCACGGAAGATACATTCATAAAGAATGTGTACCGCGCGCTCATAATTTATGGACTGAAAATAATGCACCAGGCATATGGAGATATGTGGAAGCGGAGAACCCTCCTACGGAAGTCACTACGTTTATAAAGTTCCCCCTCTATGTCCTGACGATCGCTTCATCGCCCTTTCCTGGTAAAAAAGTTATTGCGGAATAATAACAGGAAAAGTCTAGTCACGGCACAATCGCATTGTTAGACTTTCTGCGCCTGAGCTTTTGTAAGATACCGTCAGTAGCTGACGAGCTTTCGCGAGCTTCGAGGCTGCAGGGAATACCTGTATTTCGAAAGTTCAGTTCCATCGCGGCCGTTCATGATTACAAGGAGAACGTGTAGCTGAACATTCAGCTGAATCGTTGAATTGATGCCTAACGTCAATTTTTTTATAGCTTTCGTAAGAAAAATCGGACAGAAAAATCTGTATACACGTTAGTGAATATAAACTGCACCAGTATGATCGGCTTTCCCTTTATTCGCTGCGCCATGTACGTCTTCTTCCATGATTTTCTGGTTGTAATGTGCGTCAAAAGTCTTTGTCGTCCATTCCATCACGATCGGTGCTTACAGTTTTAGGATCAAACAGATCCACCAGTCATGCATGTAAACAGCTCATATCACGATGACATCAGACGCATCGTATATGTGATACAAGATGTCTTGAATCTAATCAGTGTGTAGCCGTCACAGTGTGTAGTCAGTCCGTTCAATGTCAAGCTCGTTTGACGAGATTGCTCAGGGTGCTATGTCAGACTCTGCTCTATTTCATCTTTGTCCCGGGGGTTTAAAATATTTTTCAACGATTCGAACGTCCGTCGTCGGTTCAAAATGATCAAACCCATTTGCAATTGTCTGATGATTGTTTCGAAGCATATGCTGCTGATTTGTCAAAATGACAAGATTAAGATCTGCATAAGGATTAACAGGTTATATAATAACTGGCGTAGCCAGAAAAAAGTTTCGGGAGGGGCTATACTTTTTATTTTTGACCAGCAAAAAAGTCATTCGAAAAAATTTTTCTGACACTTAGCGTAACCCAGAAAATTAATTTCGGGGGGCTGCAGTCCCCTCCTGGCTATGCCACTGTAATAAGTTATTGTGATTATATAGATCATATTATGCGCAAAGGATTCTTATAACGTGGTATTTATTGCGAGAATAAAGAAAAGATTATTATAATTTAAGTATTCTCTAAAATTTAAATATTTTCAATAATATCATTTAGTTTTTTAGGTAAAGTAGAAGATATTTTGCAGTATATACAGGGTGTTTCTTAACCTCCGCCCACGAAGACCGTAGCGTTATTCCTTATGGAAAATTGAATCGAAAAGTTCTGAGCCATTTTTGTATTTGATGCTTAACGAAGTAGATATTCTTTAATAAATTCCAGCAAATCTGCGTCATTCTTTAGAAGTATACACGTCTGTGAGCTGCGCGCCTGGTAGTATGCGTGAATGCAGCGGCGGAACCAGGCGGCTCATAGCGTGTATACTTCTAAAGGACGGCGCGGATTTGCTGGAATTTATTAAAGAATATCTGCTTCGTTAAACATCAAAAACATCAAAAACAAAAATGTTTCAAGACTTTTCGATTTAATTTTTCATAAGGAATAACGCTATGTGCTTCGTGGGCTGAGGTTAAGAAACACCATGTATGTCTGGTAGAAGTAGTCGGGTTCATGTTCATATTGTGTCTTCTTGGATACTACGTAATAATGATATATGAGATGATGATACTTCAAATAAGTATATAAAATAAACGGCAAGTATACGACTGACAGCGCGGAGGAAAGTGCAAAAGAAAAATATCTCTGATTATAGCAATCACAAATCAGTGTAGTAATATTTACTATAAATATACTCAGAATATATACTATAAATATATTCAGATTGGAGCGACCAAATATCGCATTATTGCAACGTCAGTAATTCAACAATTGTTCTGTAATTACAGCAATCACATAATTAGTTTCGTATTTTACTATTGAACCTGGTTGGCACAACCAGATTTATGTGTGAGCTAACCATAATATTTTTTCTCTGTATAGTAAAGTACACTAGACACGATTGTATTTATATAAATCGTAGATATCAATTTTAGAAACTCTTGTACAGTGCCATGATCCTTCTCTTTGCACGTTATCGACACTGAAAACTTATCATGGACAATATGGTACGTTGAATTCACAATCCCTTTCGTGTGCGCCCTGTTATTACACGCAGTTGTTTTATGCACGCAAGCGCACCGCACAACACCGTACTTAAGCCCACCTATTATCACATACATCTGTTCAGTCATGCTCGTGCTTCTATTACTGTTCGACCATCTGCTATCCTTAAACTCGAAATGCAGGAACTCTGTTAACGAAAATAATAGGAACTTTAACGAAACTAAAAAGATAAAAAGCAAGCTAAACGCAAAGTTTATGGTCGATTTATGTAGTCGTCATGCGTAAAATTTCGATTTAAAAAACGTTAAAATTGTATAATGTATCGAAGCGTGAAACACTCGTCAGCAACGATCTGGATAAGCAGACAGGAGAACAACTTAAACTACGCGATACAAGTGACCCGTGTTATTCTGCAAATGATCGTTTATAACTAACTTCCGAAGTCGCTTTTAACATAGAGAGAATTGCAGTTCGTTTGCTGAAAGATCGTTCTCGTGTTACCTACTATTCGCGTTCATCCTGATGTCTGCTGCTGGTATTCTTGAAGGAACGTGACTTGAAGCAGAAAGTTACGTTGTCCAAAGAAAGGATGTGCTGGAAGTTCGCGATTCTTTCCGTTGCCTTCATATATATTGGTGGATTAGTTTACCGTACGATCGTACCGCTCTCGTGTGTCATGAGGGAAAGTAAGCAGCAAAAATAAGTTTCCTCGTTGTTTCGTAGTATTTTTGGCTAAAAAAGATATGTAGAGTAAGATATTTTGCATTGATATTTCACTTTATTATTGTAATAAACATAAAAGATAAAACTAACATTATATAACTCTTTAAGAATATACAATATATATATATTAACTATTCGTTCTCTCACCTCAAAATAATATTAACAACATTCATAACTAAATTGTTATAAAAGTATTATTAAAGTAAACTTAACTAAAACTTCAATAAAATAAAACTTAAATAAACTTAAATGAAACTAATTACAGGATTACAGGATGGACAAAAAACAATGGATTATTAATATTGGTAGGGATAAATTCGACTTCTCCAAAATATATTTTATATACAAGGTAAGCTTTATTAATAATACTTTATATTCTTAGTTTTTCATTTATATATTAACAAACTATACTAATATACAACAGACATATTAGACTATATTAATATACAATATACATTTTCCATTAGAGATGTGGTAAAAGCCACGCAGTTCCAACAATTTTTTTGGAAAATAAATTAAATAAAAATATAAATAGTGCCTCTTTAGATGCAAATAACATTGGTTCTGCTTGTTCACATTTAAGTTTTAAATAAAATATATGCTATATTTTTTAATAAGAAGTACATTGTTAAAAATACACACATTTATAGTAAGTTTGCAATGAATGATAAGATTGTTTTATTTTAGACTGAAGTTCATATCCACACAGCAGGAATGTTCCAAATATCATGAGGATATTTTGAAGATATTAAAGATATTAAAGATTTTGAAGATATTAAAGATATATTTTCCAAATATATCTTTAGGATATCCCTATAATATATTTTGAATACCTCTGTTTTGTAGATATTAGCAATCCAAATACTAAAATAATTTTCCTTTTCAATAATATTTCCCTTTAATTTATATATGTATATATATATATATATATATATATATATATATATATATTCTTTAAACGGATGTACGTTTCCGCTACATTTTGGTTCGTACTGCCATTGTGAAGGAACGTAGATCTAAACCAATGAAAAGAAGTCTACGAATGGCCAAGCTCTGTATTCTAGGGACTCAAGTCCAAGCTATTTCCTCAAATTTGACGAGCAAATCTCGCTGACATCGTCTTCATTCTGTAATTTTTCGCAGGATTGGTTACCTATTCGGTGACATGAAGCGCAACTGAATTAGTCGCGTTCCTCATTATGTACGTTTGCATACATATGATTAGCCGAAATAATGGGGCCCACTTTATCTCTATGTTTCATGAGATTTTATATCATTATTATGGTTACTCTTTATAAATACTTTCTGTACGAATTTTACTTATGCACGATTGACGAATTCTAAAGTAAAAAATGAGGAGATAATATTTATTAATTGTAATTATTCTGTGTTTCTTGTTTTATAATTATACTTAATTTTAGATTAACTTTGTAGAAATGGAGAGTTAGCGATTCTACGACTACGTTAATTATTACTGCGATGTTTACATTTTTCACTTTTTTTCTATTATTACTGTCTGTCGATCAACTCCTAATGGATCAGGTACTGGGCACTGATATTTATTGTCAAATTAACCAGCAATGATGTAATAAGTTAGAAATATATCATTAAAATAAACATAATATATAATCAAAATAAACATAAATGAACGTAATATTAATTAATCGTAATATTAATTAATCGTAGAGTACAGAGATTGCATTGATGACATCCACGATGAACTGGTATCGTTCCGCATAAGAAGGCTCGCGCTTTAATCCTGATAGTGATTTCCAATATTTCAGTCAAAATCTCGACAGACAAGCTAATAGAGATATCCCTATCTAAGTTCAGTAACGTGAGTATAGAAATGTATCGTTCACGTTCTCCAGCAATGAATTAAATGTTTCTCTTGTTTTTTCGTAGATTGTCAGAACATTAGTAGTATACTTTAATTTACTCCGACAATTTATTTTATCTGTTTTTCGGTGAGATACTTTCCCGAATATGCCGATATGGTTTATTTAATATAATAAAATTATACTCGAACATTCTGATTCGCAATCGATCTTTGATACAAATGGATAATACAACAAATATTCTCTATCTCAATTTTAGTTTTCACTTTTATCAATAATATCCAACAAAAAATTACTCATTGATCAATGTCGATTCGATGTTGAAACCATCACATCAACATTAATTCGACATCGTTTCGACATCGATCGATAAGTCATTTCTTGCTGCGTAAGATATTTCGTGAGAATCTCAGAAAATCTGAATATTTTTGTGACATTTTTTTTAAGTCATCTCATTAGCTAATTTATTTTGAATAAACTATTATATGAAATTAAATACTATGGCCTAAAGTTTGTCATTCATTTTATTAACAATTTGCATATTGGCTTTGTTGTACTTGATATATTTCTATGATCTGATACAAACTGGCTCACTCGTAAAAGTGCTGAAGGGTATTCTGCGCGAATCGATCTTATTCTGTAATTATCCCCGATCTGCAAAAAATGACAACCGCACATGCAATCAAACTTTTACCTGCACTGTGACTGAATCGTGATAAGTAAATCATTCATATAATGCAATCGGCAAGTTTTATAGTCATGTCGCCTGTCAGTTGCACTTGCGCGACCGTTTCATAAGTAAGTTTCTCTTCATAAAATTTAGTTCAATCACGTTGAATGCGATAATTGAACGCAAGATCTATGCAATCCGAATTATAAGGATATCAAATATATTGTGCAGATTCACCGAATGATTTTGGGATAGATTGGCGTGTGACCGATCTTGGGGCGCTTCTACTACTAGAAAAGACTACTGAAGAGACTCTGCAACTGTATTACTTGTTGCTGTTCTTCAATCTGACACTACGGATGCTATATATGTCACTGATTATAGACACATTCAGGGTGTTTGGCACGTTTTATTTTTATACCACGGTATCCGTCCTAGGATATTACGTGATAACGGTACGCAATAATACGAAATAATATTTCGCAATCCGATGAAAAATTTTTCATGCATAATTTTGCAAAAATGCTTATACAAAATTATGCAAAATTATATATGAAATTTGTCCATATATAATTATACATAATTATATCTAAATAGATAAAATTATACATAATTATGCATAATTTTCGATAATAAAAATGCCTTTTGATGCTATAAATAGTAACTTTTTTCGTTTCTTCTATGTTAAAACTTAAAGAAGGACTTACTGAGAGTTTCTCAATACACATAGAAAAAAAAAAATTACTTCATATATCCCTCCGTAGTTTCGAACTCGAACTGCCTCACCCGTTCCGCTTGTTAGTCCTAGTCCTAGTCTTGGTAGCCCTTATAGAAATATCATATTAAGAATCATTGATAATTACTTATTTTCAGTATTAAAAATACTGGATAATAAGTAATTATCAATAATTCTTAGTATGATATTTCTATAAGGGAGCTACTGGATCATTTTGACAATAAGAGGGTTAATAATGATTTTAATGTCTCATACGATATCTTGCTGACTTGTATTTATACAAGTACTGTTATATTTCATACAACCGCTCGTGTGAACATAGAACGGATTAAATTGAATAGAAAAGTCATGTACCATTTTGCAAAATTCGTAATAGTTGACAAGGAATGAATTATTCTCTATAAGATAATGAGCGCACGTGAATCGATAGGCCAAACTCCGTGTAAAGAAAAATGGTTTACTTCTGAAGATGACCGCTGTCGCGTGGCAACGCGCCGCTGTTCGTGTCTACGTCGCCTTATACTTTGATTATATGACATATAGATGATTCTATATATTTACATATAATTATATATAATCCTGCATATTATACATTAGTATACATAATCATACAAAGTAACAAGTTATTCGAAAATCGCACATTCTGTGTAATTATATATTATTATATCTCATTATGCATAAGTATGCATACGTTAGTATATATTTATACAATTTTATATAAGTATATATCTTCATATATAATTATATCAAGGTGACATCAGGCAACATCATACAAAATTATGTACAAAATCTTAGAAACTTACATAGAATTGCATGACGCATTATATATATATTTTTATATATTTTTGTCAAATTATATATAATTTTATATAATTATGTATGAAAAATTTTTCATCTGGATTACATGCAAATTTGCAATATATATGCCTTAGATTTTTTTATGAATATTTTTATTGAGTGTTTTTTTATGAAATAATAATGCATTTTATAGATCAGAAAGATGCAATATCTACGTTGGCGTATGCTAGTATCTTTTATCTTATTACAGCAATCTGACGTATCGACGAGTGATGTTCTCGGAAATAATTGTCGACACCTGATAAAGTTCCATCAACGAGATTTTCGGTTTCATTCATCTACTATACGGTATTGTCACCCATAACATCACGGTAGCGGCATATAGCCTAGCGGCTCTCCTCGCAATGCACATAGCTGCAGATGCACATGTTTTGGTTGAATCATCTGGTCGACGGCCGAGAGGGTGTCGATGACACTGTAGATGAGAAATTGGCGAAAATTATTCAACTGCCTGTACATATATTGAAATAAGTAAATATTGTATACATACACCTATAATTTTGACATATCAAAAGAATATATTATGCCTTTTAAAAAATGAGAAATTTCATAATAAGTACTCAGGTATACCGGTTTTTTATTTAACGTGAAAATTTTGACGTAAGGATTAAAGCATATCTATTATAATATCTTATAATAAACAAAAGTTATTAAATCTTCTGTTGCTTATTTGAATATGTTATGAACGTGTACGTATATATTATACAAGATGTTCCATTTTAAAAGATCCACATAATTCTTCAGCCAAGTATATTTAGCAAAAATGTTTCAGACAAAAGTTGTAGAGTTCAAAGAGGGATATCTGAAGGTGACCTTGAATTTGACTTTGGAGGTCATTCTGATAGTTATTCGAAAGTCAACTTTGCTTTTTGAATAGAAATATTAATTTTTTACGGAATTTTATTCTGCGTAAAGAAATTAACAATTTTTGTTTGACAAAATTTTTTATGCAACCACTATTTTCTAAGGTATTTACGGAAATATCTATAAAATTATTGGATTTAATAATTTTTTACTCAAATTCTATCAACTTTAGCGAAAAATATCAAGAGATAAAAATTATCCATTTTTTTCTCATAGAGCTCTGAGAATTTTTTCAGAATTTTTTAGTTAATTTCTTAGTATTGCATTTTCTTGCATTTTCTCAAAGTACTAAAAAGTTTATAAAAAATTCTGAAAAAATTCTCGAAGCTCTATGAGAAGAAAATAAACAATTTTTATCTCTTACCATTTTTCGGTAAAGTTGATAGAATTCGAGTAAAACATTATTGAATCCAATAATTTTGTACATATTTCCGTAAATATCTTAGAAAATAGAAGTCGTATACAAATTTTTTTCAAACAAAAGTTATTAGTTTCTTTACGTAGAATAAAATTCTGTAAGAAAAATTAAATATTTCTATTTAAAAAGCAAAGTTAACTTTAAAATAACCTTCAAAATGACCTCCAAGATCAAAGTAAAGGTCACCTTTAGATGTCCCCCTCTGAACGCGACAACTTTTGTCTGAAACATTTTTGCTGAATATACTTGACTGAAGAATTATGAGGGTGAACTTTTTTAAAATGGAACACCCTGTATATGCACAAAGAAAATATATTTTATATATTACATTTAAATATAATTTCCGAGAGAAAATACAACTAGTAGGCCACTTTGATCATATGTATCTTACGTATAAGTATTACAGGTATATTTGTACACGCGCATGTATAAAATTGTACATTACCGTATAACATATCGCATAATATAGGCGAACAGGGAAATACTCGCAATCTTTTCCGACTAGTCGCAGAAGATATTTCCAAGAACGTGAATCGTGCGCTCATAACTCACGAACAGAAAATAATGCACAAGATATGCAGAAGAGGCATATACTTTCTCTTATGGGGAAGTGGCTGCGTCTATGGCGCAGTCGCGACGTTAGACATTCCGCGTTCGAGCTCGCACGAACTCGTCAGTACCTGACGAGCTTTCGCGAGCTTCGAGGATACAGAGAACTATGTTTCGGAAATCGAATTCCGTCACGGCCGTCAATGATTTCAAGGAAGACGTGCAGCTGAGCATTCAGCTAAATCGTTGGATACTGAAACCGATTGGCGCCTGGCCGGGACCAGCCGAGATTTCGTGGGCAGAAAAATCTGTGTACACGCTGGTGAACATAATCTGCACCGGTATGATCGGCTTCCTCTTCTTCCCCTGCGCCATATACGTCGTACGCGAGGTCGATGACTCGTACAATATGTTGAAGTTTTCCGGACCGTTGAACTTCTGCCTGATGGCTGTCATTAAATACACCTCGCTCATTTGCCGTGAGGGCGATATCCGCAAGGGTATTCAGCATATAGAGGATGATTGGATGGACACACGATATTACAGCGATAGAGACATTATGATCAAAAACGCAAAATTCGGCCGTCGTCTCGTGACGATTTGCGCGTTTTTTATGTACTCCGGTGCTGTGTTTTATTATCTCGCCATGCCGTTTAGCAACGGTAAAATAACAGAACTCGACGGAAACCTAACGTATCGGCCGCTTGTGTACCCGGTCGCCCGAAATGTCATCGACGCACGATACAGTCCAGTCAGTGAAATCTTCTTCTGGTTGCAATGTGTATCAGGCTTTATCGTCCATTCCATCACAACCGGTGCTTGCAGTTTGGCAGCGGTGTTCGCTATGCACGCTCATGGACGTCTGGAGATTCTGATGAAATGGATTGAGCATTTGGTAGACGGTCGGGAAGATTTTTACGATAGCGTGGATGAGAGACTAGCGATGATTGTGGAACAGCACGTTCGGGTCTTACGGTGAGTGCTTTCTCAACTGGGATTTTTGTGTCGGTGATTCTTTGAGGAGAATTCAGACGTTAGCAGAAAACAGAAAAGCGAAAGTCAATTGAAATTTGCGCTGCTGGGAAGGCAGAAACTATTGATTACCATCTGAGTACTAATACGAGTTTTGATACGAGTTTCTGTTTTTTTGCTCAATATTTTTCTGTTTTGGTATGAATTTTCTCTTATTTATGGTGTGTTTGTTATAATTAAGTATTAATTTTGCTTGCGATTACTGTTCTAAAGAAATTGCATGTTTGGGTCAAGTATCTTCTACGCGATACAATGTGGCACTTGTCTTTCAGTTTCGTATCGCTAACGGACAGAGTACTGCGCGAAATATCTGTCGTGGAAATTGTAGGATGTACGTTAAGCATGTGTGTTCTCGGATTTTATGTTATCAGGGTATGCATATCGTACAAAAAGTACTTACCGCAAAGCGCAACGTTTTGTTTCAAGTAATTTTGGATATCGACATATGCACAGTTCACGGCAACTCATGTGTAATAGATATTTGAAATAAAAGAATCTTTACGTTACAGGAATGGGAAAATAAAGAGATTGCCGCTTATGTAACATACATTATTCTGCTCACATCTCTCACGTTCAATATTTTCATATTTTGTTACATTGGCGAACTTATTGCCAAACAGGTATAGTGTTCACAGTTGAAGCGTTCTTCTGCACATCTGATATAAACTTTTTATGTATAAATTAACCCATTGTAATATCTTAGATTAGTTAAAAAATTGTTTCCTGCTTTAGATACTCGCACAAGCTAGAAAATAACTTTTGTCTTTGGAATTATTATATGACGTAATCGAAATAATGAAAACTATCTTGTAAACAGTGCAAAAAGATCGGCGAAGTGTCGTACATGATCGATTGGCATCGACTATCGGGAAAGAAGGGTCTCGCTCTCATATTGATAATCACAATGTCCAATTCGTCCGTCAAACTTACCGCTGGAAATCTGTTCGAGTTGTCTCTCAGTACTTTTGGTGATGTAAGTATCACAATGACTGGATTATTAAATATGTTAACAATGATTTACGTGTCATCCTTCCAACCAACAGGTGGTTAAGACATCTGTCGGCTACTTGAACATGTTACGCACATTAACTTCGTAAAGTATCTTCGTAATGTGCAAATTATAGCATAGATCAATACATTAATTAATTACTAATAAATATCAATTAGTTAGTTGCCCTTATGTCGAGTGAAAGTTAGAAAAAGGTGAGATTTGATGGAGGTAGTAGAAATTTAATAAATAGAAAACTTGAATGTTTATATAAAGTGAAATCCGACGCGCATTTATCGTAACGTATAAAACATTTTCAAACGCCTCGCATTTTATCGCGCGATACGAAATTAAATGATGCGAATTTAGAAACAACTCGCTTTTTCACTTGAACGAAATAAAGTGTTCTGACTGACGGTCAAAACTGTTTTCTTCTCATGTAACACGTAAACAACAATATTAAGATTACGCAATAACCATAGATTAATATTCCCAGCAATATTCTCCCTTACGTGCGTCTCGCACGTACCTATTATTAATATCCCTTCATTGTAAAGAATTGCTGCGGTTTCTTCTCGACCAGAACTATACTTCTTGGAAAAAATTAGAAAAGCGCAAGCGCCGAGAAAACGATCTGCTGTCCTCCGTCGTGACATTGTCGTTCAATAGTCAGCAGACGTTCGAGTCGCGACTATGTCGCACTCTTTCCGTGTATCTCCCACGTACAACGTTACGCACGAGCAGGACAGCGAGTACAGCATCCAGCTAAATCGCTGGTTCCTGAAGCCGATCGGTGCTTGGCCAAACAGTGCCAATAAACCAGTCAGCATTACAGAGAAATTGCTGTACCGCTGTATCCAGTTCATCTGCCATTCTCTGATCGCCTTCACTATAGTGCCATGCGTGCTGTACATCATATTCGAGCCGAACGTGCATTTGAAACTGAAAGCTTTCGGTCCGATGATACACTGGCTAATGGGTGGCGTAAATTACTGTTCGCTGCTGTTGCGTGGATACGAGATACGCAAGTGTGTGGACCACATGAGGACCGATTGGCGGCACGTGAACAGTGCGTACGATCGGGAACTAATGTTGAAGAACGCCAAATTTGGACGATTTGTGTCCGCCTTTTGCGCGATTTTCATGCAGGGTGGTGTTTGCTCCTACAGTATCATCACTAGTTTCACGCCGGCAATCGTGCAGATCGGCAATGTCACTATCACGATGCACCAACTGCCGTGTCCGTTCTACACGGAGCTGGTGGACGCTAGATTCAGTCCGACGAACGAGATTGTACTTGTTCTCCAACTTCTCTCGACCATCATCGTGAACACCGTCACGGTGGGTGCGTGCAGTCTCGCCGCGGTCTTCGCCATGCACGCCTGCGGCCAGCTGAACATCCTGATGGTGAGATTGGATGAGCTCGTCGATGTGTCGTCGATAAAGAGCGAGCATAAGACCACGCGCCGGAAGCTGACTGCCATCGTGGAGCATCACCTACGTACGTTGAGGTAGTGTACTTGTACGTTGGAGCGCAAACGTTGAAATTATTATATTATTCGGTAAAAATAAGTACGTGGAAATATTTAAATTCGATTCCGTACCACGTTTGTGCAAAACAGCTCTTTTCATTTTTATGATTTAATTTTTTCCCAATAATCGTGATAGAGCCGAGTTGTCAAGAAGAGTTAATGTATAAAAATATGATTGCAAGAGAGGGCTTCATGTTAGCTCTATCTTGTAAAATAGTTTTATCACGTTTTAATTTCAGTTTTGTGTCGCAAATAGAAACGGTTATGCATCAGATATGTCTCGTCGAGCTAATGGGATGCACGACAGACATGTGCATGCTCGGATATTATACGATTACGGTATGCTAAAATTTTGTACCAAGGATCAACAGTGGCTGCAAAATCCAAATTTCGCGAGTTTTTTAAATTACACAAGTATCTCTTTAACATATGATATCGAAATCGTTCCGTGCATATGTGGGTAATCTTCTGACGAGTCTCCTTTCCTGATATATTTTATTCCCACACATGTGTATTCTATTTACAGGAATGGAAACTACACGACACGAAAAATTTACTCACGTACTTCACTATATTTATAGCCATGTCATGCAACATTTTTATATTTTGCTACATCGCTGAAATTCTCACGGATCAGGTAGTCGCATTGTATATTAGTTATTTCTTATTTATACAATATTCTTAAATAAAATTTTTATAATAGAAATATATTCATCAAATCAGCCTTTATATAGTGTCAAAAAGTAGGCGATGTGACATACATGACAAATTGGTACCAATTGCATCATAAAATCGCGATAGATTTGATCCTAATAATATCAAGATCAAACGCCGTTATTAAAATAACAGCCGGGAAAATGATTCAACTGTCTATTGCAACATTTGGAGATGTAAGTCTGCCCGATAAAATATATTATATTAACACTTTTATAAGCAAATTTGTGCAATGATAAGTTTGTGTCTACAGTCCCTCTTAATTTCTGTAGTAAATTTTTTTCTATCTCACACATTATCGTTAAATATTCTAATTACCAACGAAAAAATTATGTTGCTAGAAATTTTCAAGTGCTAATACATATTTAAAGTTTTAGAAAAAATTGTTATAACAGATTTACAAAACTATTAATATAGGTCTGTCAATTGTGATTATTTCAGGTGATGAAAACAGCGTTTGCATATTTAAATATACTCAGAACAGTAGCAACATAACAAAAACTAAATATATATGCTGAATTCAAAAGTTGCCGAAAACAGATTAAATGTAAATTCATTTGACTTACTAATAATCAATATAGTGATACAGCTGATCCTCGTCAAACTAATTAGCGTATTCCTTACCCTCTCGACAATTTCATTACACAATGTAGTTATTTTATATTTTATATCAATAATGACGTACACGTGTAACTTTGATGCGTGTAATTAAAAGGAATATATCTTCCAATATATATAAGAAATTTTGAAGAACGAAGAACGTCGTATATCCATCTGTCACAGCTAACAAATGCAACAAGAAGTAATAACAATCGCCAATTTTACAATAAAATCACTGACTTATAGAGTTATCAAACATAACAATTCTTAGATGTGACTGACTTTATTGCTCGTATGTCGTACGGTACACTATGATGCGATGCAACAAGTTGGAGAAGCTATAGGTATCGATTGCGTTCTCAGCCTGACGATAGAGTAATTTCCTCTCTTTCTTCGAAATGTCCGCGCAAGCGTTACCGTATCTATTGCTTAGAGGAGAAGCATACGAGTAGTAGCGATCAGTATCCTAAAAGCGTCTCTTCTCGATGAACCATGGAGCGCGCTTCTCGCGAGTCCACGCTCGATCTCTATAGACGAGACAACGACTACAGTCTTCAATTGAATCGTTGGGTTTTGAAACAGATAGGTGCTTGGCCCGAAGGGCCGACGAATTCATTCGGCAAAAACACACTGAAGAAGGTCTTGAGATTCATGTGTCATTCTTTAATAGTTTTCACCGTGGTACCCACTATATTGTATATATTGTTCGAAGAGAAAGATTTTCGCTTCAAATTGAAGGCAGTAGGACCAGCGAGTCATTGTCTCATGGGCGAAATCAATTACTGTTCACTCTTGCATCACAACAAACGAATGCGTAAATCCATCGAGCATATGGAGACAGACTGGCGAATGGCGGGAAGAGAGCATGATCGAACAATAATGTTGAAGAACGCCCGGATAGGACGAATCATAGCAGGTGTTTGTGCGCTGATCATGCAAGGTGGTGTGTTATGTTACAACTTAGCAAGAGGACTATCACCAATAAACGTGGTGATAGGTAATGAGACCGTGACAATAGGTCGCTTACCGTGCCCGTCATACAACAAGATCGTGGATACCAGATTCAGTCCGGTGTACGAGGTTGTGCTTGCGCTGCAATGCCTCTCGACTTTCGTAGTGAACAATGTCACAGTCGGTGCGTGTGGTCTTGCCGCAGTTTTCGCGATGCACGCCTGCGGTCAGCTCAGCGTAGTGATGTCGCATCTCGAAGAACTCGTTGACGAAAAACGAGACAAGCTTCAGTTAAGATTGGCGAATATTATAGAGCGGCATCTACGAGTATTGAGGTAAGATAAGTTGTGTGTTCTATACAGATAAATTCTATACAGACAATTTTTATAATAATGATCAATGGACTGATATAGTCGCATTTTACCAATTTGAACATTTCAATAATCTTTATTTAAATGTCTCTTTTGTAGCATGCAATTTTTTAATTATGTTAAAAACACGGAACTGTAAGAAAAACGTTAAAAAAATTTTATTCTTGCTTTCTTGCAAACTCTTAATGTTTTACAAATGTAACAAATGTCATAATTCAACAAAAATAACAAATTATATATAATTTGTTATATTATAATTATTGTATTTATGACGTACTTCTGTACAGACAACTCTGTACTTCTGTACAGAGTTTAATTATGAATGTTGCAGCTATTTTTATCTGAATTACAGGTTTCTCTCGCGTATGGAGACTATAATGCGTCAGATATGTTTTGTGGAGTTAGTCGGATGTACGTTCAATTTGTGCATGCTAGGATATTATACCATTACGGTACGCTTAAAAACTTGAAAAGGTGAATATGTAATAAAAAATCTTTGTTATTTCGATTTTTATTTTGAATTCTATCAAGTTACGTACCTTTTAGGAATGGCAAGAAGAAAGTGCGAACACTATAATAACATATATCATGATCCTCACAGCAATGATGTTCAATATTTTCATATTTTGTTTCATCGGTGAACTTGTAACGGAACAGGTAGTCGTTTTCACTTTGATAGTTCTTTCGTCAATTTATAGTTCTCTCTAATTAATATATTTTTGGCTTATGAATTTTATTTCGCATATTTTTGGCTTATGAATTTTATTTCGCAACAGTGTAAAAAAGTCGGTGAGGCAGCTTATATGACAAACTGGTATCATTTGCCGCATAAAACTGCTCTCGGTCTAATTTTAATAATTTTACGGTCAAGTATCGCTATTAAAATTACAGCTGGAAAAATATTTCATATGTCAATCCCAACTTTCGGCGTTGTGAGTATATAAAAATTTTTAATTTGTTACAATTATACTATAAATAAATTATAAATATTTATTTATTGTGTATTTTTTTTACTAATGATATTCAAACCCTTATAAGTGTATGAATAAAATGTAACAAAGAATTATATCATTACGTGCACGGTATTCTATGATCTGAATTAATTACTGAAATTAAACATTTCAGGTGATTAAAACATCTGTTGCTTATTTAAATATGCTTCGAACATTGACCATGTAAATATAACAAAAAGTGGTTACGCTATATATTTTAAATAGACGTTCTTTAAAATAAAATTTCTCGTATAATAAATATTTTACGTAAAAAAATGTGATTTATATGTAAACCCACAATAATATGTGTGTCAAAGACGATTTTTTAAATAGTTCTACAAAAAACTAGGAAAGAAATAATCATAAAATTTATATTACTCATACTTTCCATGTATGAGTAAATATTCGAATGCAACATACGGTATTTTACATTGCTTTATAGATAAAAAAACGTTTGCCATTATCCACTCGCGAATAATATCTGCGCGAAAAATATTTGCGCGGGAAAACCAAGTACTTACGCATATAATTTATAAACGCCGGCCGACTGACACACTACGCGAGGAAAAGTCGAACTCCCTTGCGGAAGTCAATATGACTATAAAATGCACCCTCCGTTTCCTGACATGACTGATAGACTGATCATTCTTCTTCGCCAAGGGCAGCTAGTTACGCAAGCGCGCGACATATCCTCAAGGCTTCCTTTCATGCAAACCTTTCAGTTGCTATCAAGCTTCCGTTTCTCGATAATGCACATACTACAATTAAAAAAGTCGCAATCCATCGTAATCGTGTACGATCACGAGAAAGATATACAGCTGAGCATCCAGTTGAATCGATAGATATTGAAGTCGATCGATGCCTGAACGAAGTCGGCCGAATCCTTTTAAATAAACCGATGCATTCATGTACTGGTGAACGTCTTCTACGCCTGTCTGGTCAGCTTCATCTTCGTACCGTGTGCCTTCCACGTCTTCGATGTTGAGGACATACGAGACCTTGAAGTTCACTGGATTATTGAGTTTCTGCATGATGGTCATCGATTAAGTATTACTCGTTGATCCTTCGCAAGTGTACCGATTACATGATTGATTGGATGAACACCACACTGGAAGATACCACGGCGACCACGCGATCATGATCAGGAACGCGAAGTTTAACCGTAGCCTCATAGTCATCAGTGCATTTTTCTTGTACGATGATGCCGTCTTCTATCATATCGCCATGCCGATCAGCAAGATCACGGAGGAAAACGGGAACTTAACGTACAGACCACTAGTGTATTCGGTCGTTCGACCGATCGACGTCAAAATCCCGTCGACGAGATTTTCTTTTGCATTCATTGTATGACGGATTTCTTCACACAAGCCGTCACTGCATCCACCAGCAGCTTAGCAGCCGTTTTCGCGATACACGCCTATGGCTTGGAGATTCTAATGCAGCGGATCGTGCACCTGATGAATGGATGAGAAGATAATATATAATAATGATGATAAGAGTTGACCATAATTGTGGAGCAACATGTACGTATTATTTAGGGAGTTTTTCTTTCTATTATAGAACAATAATGATTCTAATCTTTATGTGAAAAGTTGGTTATTAATTTTTCATCTTAATAGTATAATTAAAAGATATTGTCAAAAAATATTAATTATTTTACGACTTTCATTGCTCTACGAGAGAACAATGTGATCAATTAAGTAATTAAATTAGAATGTCAATTTCACTTGTGAAAGTTTTATTTGTAAACTTAATTTTCTGATCATTTTTAGCGATAATTGTAGTTTTGTATCGCCAAAGATTCTGCAGCAGGAGTAATTGATTGTTTATATTGATTGCAATGTTCAATTTGTCGATCAAATTTATCACCGTAAATCTCGTCGAATTATCTTTCAGCAGTTTTAGTGATGTAAGTATAATATTATGAATATATTATGAATATAAATTATTCGCTATATAATTTAATTTTTCTTTAGACTCGTATATAAATCGTTTGACTTAAGCGTTGTTCATTACACAAATAAGTTAAAATATCGATCGTCTATTTGAGCATGTTACGTACACTAAAAACTTGAGCTCAAATTGAGTTTAAATTTCACCTTTGATTTGCGATTTCTAAACAAAATAAATTATTAGATTTATTACGTATGTTTATTACAAATATTACTGAATATTATTACTTCTTCGGTATTCTCAATAATTTATGACTCTAAATAGAATTGGTTAATTCTGTAGTTCAAAAACAATGCAGCGGAAGCGTAGGATGTCCTGTATACTTGGTCGTTTTTGTGATTTAACGACTTTTTTATAATATTGTTTTAAATTTTTGTAAAGGTTGTTGTATTTCTTCTCAATGCTATTTATTAAAGTTTTTTTCACATAATTATATTTTTTGTAACAACTTCTTTTACGAACATTATTAATTTTATTTTAGAGAAAGAGACATACTTGGCGCTTCCTTTACATCTCTGATTTCACTTTTAACTGAATTTCACGTTTTTTAAAAGTTAATTTTTTTTTAAGAAAAACATTATTAAAGTAAAGTTTTATCAAAAATTATATTTTTGTAACTATTTTTTAATGAATACTGTTAGAATACATTTTTTTTAAAGAGAAAAAGACATTATTGGTACTTTATCATATCACTGATATCCTTCTCAAATAAATTTCACATATTTTTTAATATATAATGCAAAAAAGACGACGACGACAACGTATTGAAATGATATAAATTTGACGAAAAAATACGTCAATAAGTTCATACTATCTATATACTTGGCTCAAGACGCTATAGCGTCACTCGATTTCTATAAAAAATAATTAATTTGTTAATTAAGCGAGTTTATTAGAATTCGGCATACATATATACATACATACAAATATATATACAGGATGTCCGGTAACTGATTGAGCAGGTACAAGTAGAACAGGTCAAAATAATCATAAAATATATACCATTTCTCAATATTTATTCCGTAATTAATTAAAATGTATAAACGAATGAACTCACGAGAAGCGATAGGACAAGCTCTGTGTATAAAAGAAATGGCTTACCTTTTAGCAACGATGAGTAACAGCTGATTTCGAGGCGGAGTAACAAGCGATATGTATACGTTACTCTCAAAATCAGCTGTTTACTCATTGCTAAAAAGTAAGCCATTTCTTTTACACACAGAGTCTGTCCTATCGCTTCTCGTGAGTTCATTCGTTTATACATTTTAATTAATTACGGAATAAATATTGTGAAAATTTCAAAGTGGTATATAACTTTTATGATTATTTTGACCCGTTCTACCTGTACACGGCGGTTGCTCGATCAGTTACCGAACACTCTATATATAAATATATATATATATATATATATATATATATATATATATATATATATACAGGGTGTTTTTTTAACTTAAGACTGCTAAATATCTCGAAAAATAAGCATTGTACGACAAAAATGTCCCAAATAAACCCTCAATAGTTTGGAGGACGCAATTCAATCCCACAAAAATTATCCACCTCCCGCCCCCCCCCCCCTGGGGATGGGGCGGGGGGGAACTTTGAAATCTTAAATGGGAACCCCTACTTTTTATTACAGATTCGGATTCTACATCCAAAAACACGTAACTTTTGTCTGAACTTTTTTTTTCTATTTCTGATAGATGGCGCTGCATTCGGCGAAAATTGGGTAACCTGAAATTGAAATAACTCGACTATAATAGTGCTATTTATCGAGACTCGTCCTACACAGTTTGAAAGTTTGTGTTCCACTTTGCGTTACTTATAAGTTATGTTATTTTAATACTACGAAATGTTAAATATTTATTCAACACGAAATATTCAAATAACATAATCATATTACTTAGATATGTTAAGAATTTT